TTCTATGACTTGATAGTCATGTTCCCTACGGTTACCAGAACTTCTGTTAGTGGCTTATCCAATGAGCACTTTCCGCCTGCAAGTATTAAACCCAGCCACAGGTATGAGCCAACACACTCTCCATAATGGACTCTACCACCTTTCTGGATCAAACACAACATGTGTACAGATTCTTTAGCAGAAACTTACCACATATAAATTATTTAGCACTGATTCGTGTACTTTTAAAAAAATCTGACATCCAACTGGAGCTTTTCCTGTACTACAGCATTAAGGTAACACAAGGTACTGTCCAAGATGAAAAGACAGAACACAGACTGCTCTTAACAGGGAAGGGCCAAGAGCTGAGCTGTCCCGAGCCTCAGTGGTTTAAAAAGGTTAACAAAATGTCAGTAGGTTACATATACCACACTATCCACTGTCCACTTTCAAATACATGTGTGATAATACCAAATGTCATCCTATGTCTCTGGAGTCTAGAAAAAGATCACACAGAAGAAACAATACTCAAAAAATCCCAGATTATCCTCAACTCTGATTTTCAAAGGGAAATCAAGGCCTTTTGTCTTTTTTCAACAAGACACAATTGGTGCCTGATAAGCTCATACTTTGTAACCTTAGTGCTAATGACAAAAACACAGAAATAATATAGCATCCCCATCATCAAAATGCATCACGCCCCACCAGATGGGAGGCGCCATGGGAACCCGTGTGAATGTGTTTGAGAATGTTTCTCAGTCCCGTGCTCCTCTTCTTGAGAGCCTTGTGTGGAACAGGGCACTCTCCAGGTGAAGAGAGAGGCAGCAAGGCCCCGCAGAAGGAGTACTTCACTGGGGAAGACCTGGGTTCTAGCGCCCTCTACCCAATACCCCTGCTATCAGGAGCAGTACGACTTTAACATGTTTTTCAACCTTTCTGGGCCTTGGCTGTCTACTGGAATGGAAAAAAATACCCTCTCCTGTCTGAAAGCAGAGGGTACAATTAGCTGATCCCTATGAATTCGTTCTGCTCCACAATTCTGTTCTGTGTTCTATTTCCTGACTGTATCAGTGCAGTCTTTAAGTAATTAACCACTATTATCCCTAACCCCAACTAGCTCTTAATGCAACAGAAATCCACTGCTTCTGGTTTTATTATCATTGGAAATGGAGGGCAGCTAACTGACATCGTCCTCCAACTCCTGAACTTTCAGATACATCAGAGACAGCTCTGTAGTTACTTCTCATTTCAAAAATGCAAATCTGGAACCTTGAGTCCTTTCACGTTTATGCACTGAATCTCAATGGCTTGATCGGCACAGTAAGCGTCTTGCCTGTACTTCCAACACACTTAAAGACAGCTGGGAGGACTGGAGGAGGTTCTCACCGAGTCAGAGGTCTCTGATATGGGACCGCCTAGGGACAAATTCCAGGGAGCACAGTTAAGTGTTAATCAAGCACAGGGAAAGTCTCATAACCACCAATGGATGGCATTACCTTTTCTAGGAAGCTGTCTTCTTCCTGAGAGCAGAGCAGGAAAAGAAAGTCATTGACAGATAGAAAATTATTAGAATTAATTTACAGAATTAGAAACAGATCAGTATTAGGACTCACTAGCTTATTAGATATATACGCTTTAAACAGCTTTGAATTCTTCAAATAAAGTATGACTGCTGACAATGGAACACATTCGCCACAGGAAAAGTTCTCTATAATGCATATTAAATTTTTAAATGCAGTTTGTTGAGAATGTCACTCAAGAACCATACACGCACAGTCCTAGACTTTTGCGCCCTTTGGCAGCTGCCAGCTGACCTGGCCAGACACCCACTGATGCTTCTTCCTGTTCGTCTGCTACTTGGAGACAGGCCCTGCCACGGCACTGTGCGGTTTCTCCCCTCACCGTGAGGCCACCTCTATGGAAGAACTGGGAAGGAGATGGTGAGCTAGTCTCCTTTCCATGGCCGTGCCTCTTGCCCAGCCGTCCTCCTAAGCAGTATCCCAGACTCTTTTCCATCTCCCCCATACCCACTCGCTTCCCCAAAAGCCCTTAGAAGCTTCCAGATCTAAAGGTTTCTCTGAAATGCAAGTACATTTCATTTCAGACCTTTGTGGGTCAGAAATCATTGCCCCCTATTTTTGTTGTCTTATTAAGTATAAGAGAAAAAACTGAAGCAGGGGACAGGGACAAAGATACCTTTTAAATCTTCCCTTTTATACTATTATTACTGTTCAATAGTAACAGCAACAGGAACTACCACCTGTGCAAAGTGCAAATAGACAATGTTGTTTACTATGCACGCATGTGCAAAAGCAGGTGAAGAAACTGAGGCTCTGAGAGGTTAACTTATTTGCCACCTGTCTTACTATTAGGTATAAGTGGCAGAATCAGGATTGGAGCCCAGGTCTGAGAAACTCCACAGTTATTATCACTAGGCTCCTCACACAACTCAAAAAGGACACAGTAACTGCTTCCTGGACTGGGAGGCAGGGGAAATCTATGGGAATGTATTCTCCATGACAGACAAGAGACTAAGAAATCCTGCTTGCAGGGCAGCATGGCTAATGGGAAGAACGCATGCATTGGTGTTAGATAGTCCTCGGTACAATCTTAGGTCTGCCTCTTATTAATTTTATGGGACCTTCAAGTTACCACACTTTGTAGGGCCTCAGTTTCATCATCTCTACAACAGGTGTAATAATACTTACCTCACAAGGACAGGGAAATAGCCTAAAACCACAGAGTGGTGGGCAGTATGCCAGCAGGAGGGGCCTGGGTCTCTCCAACCCCTCACACCACCCCAGTGAGCCCCTACTAGATTTCTCCCAGTTCTGCTCCAGGCCACTGAGAACTCAAGTATAAATCACCTTTCTGGTCTAATAGGTAAAGGGAGAAATCCAGTCTTACTCTCTGAGATGCACAGGGGCTGCAGTGAGGGTGAAGTACATGTTCCTTGACATTCCAAGTTTAATGCTGATTGCATTTCTCCCACACCACTGCTATACAAGGTCATTAGCTGTTTTTAGTATTGTTAGATACATTATGAATTAAACATGCTTTTATGGGTTTACCTTGACTCTTACATACCCCATGAAATAAAGTTATCAGAGTAATTAGTACTTTATAAAGTACATAATATTTATATTAAAATTATAATACTTTTAAGAATTATTCATTTTACTTATTATCATTATTTTTTAATTTGACCAGAGAGAGAGAAAGAGGGAAAGTGAGGAATCAAGCCGCCAGGTCCGAGACTTTAACCATGGTCTGCCATGTGGGAGTACAGTGCCTTAACCACCACATCAACTGCCAGCCCTAAAATTATAATGTGAAGTTAATTTTTGAGCGTCAAATATTTCATTTAATTTTGGACTATAACTTTTTAAATAAAATTTAGGACTATGTGTTAACAAATAAACAATCTCCCTGCATGACAGACTTTATATTTTTCTTCTTATAAGTACAAGACCCTTGGAATGATGAGTAAAATCAGGCAGAGATTTGTTTGTACACGAACATGTCAAACCAGGCCCTGAAAGTTTACTTTGAGCAGTGCCCATCTACTGTACAAAAGCACTATGGGAAATGCCTTGGGAAGGGGGCGATAAAGAGAAAGATATTGTCCCTAACTCTGGTTTGCAACTCAATTGGGGTAAAGAATGCCACAAATTAGGGCCTGATATTATTATAACTCATAAATATGAGTTCTCAATAAATGGTCACTAGTCCTTGAATGATTCACAGGACTTTAAAGGGTAGAGGTGGGGAGCCAGCCAGTGGGGCGGTAGTGTGGCAACACTCCGAGATGCTGGACCCAGATGGGAAGGATCTGGGTTCATGAGGCCTCCCTGCACATACTGGGACTGCAGGTGCATGCCTGCAAGCCTGGCTTCCTGGGGCTGGTGGTGGATTATGATGTGAATATCCTGTTGGGCATGCCTCCCTCCCTCCCTGGTCCTCACCCTCTCCCTCCCTTCTTTCCTCTCTCTCGAGAAATAAATAACTAATACATAATAAAGAATGGAAGGTCAGCAGGTGGCATGGTGGCACTGGACTCCCATAAGGCCAAACATGGTTCAAGTCCCAGACCTGGCAGCTTAAAAATCACACCTGGTGCTTCTGTGTGCATCCCCAAAATTCTGAGAGGAGACTAAAGGAGAAGAGATTACAGCATGGCCATCACTCCTGAGGGGTGATTTCTCCCTTTCCCTCCCTCTGTCTCTCTCCAGCAAAGTGCACACATATTATGGCAAAAACTTAAAAAAAAAAAATTGGGACCAGCAGTTAGCGTAATGGCTATGTTGCTGGACTCCCATGTAGTCGACCGTGGTTCGAGTCTGGGACCCAGTGGCTTAAACTCATGCTGGGTGTGTGTGGGTGCGTACCCAGGATCCCAAGAGGAGAAGGGATTGAGGTGTGGCCATCCCCCAGGGGGGTGATTTCTCGCTTTCTGTCTCTCTCTGTCTTTCTGGTGAGCGCACGCGCCCTATAGCAAAAACCTCTCCAAAAAAAAAAAGAGATGGGGGATATCTAAGTAGAATAGGAAGAAAGAAATAAATGTATACAGAAGGTAAATCACAAGGTGAGGTTAGGAAGAAGGTAGTCATCTAGTTCATGGGGGAACACTGAAGAATGTTGAAAATAAAGTGGGACAAATCTGAAAAGATATGTCAAAGTCAGACTTCAGGGTCTTTGGCAGGTTAAGGAATTTGGGTTGTATTCAGCAGGTAAGGGGAAGCCACTGACTACCTTTAAGCAAGGATGTGAAAGGCCTTAAAGCAGTTACAGAAAGGTAATATGATGGGGGCCAGAAGGTGGTGGGGTGGCTAAGGCACTGGACTCCCACATGGCTGATGGTGGTTCAAGCCCCGGACCTGGCGGCTTGCTGTCTCACTTTCTCTCTCTTTCTGTCTCTCTCGGGTGAGCACATGTGCCGTACAGCAGATCTAAAAACTTATAATAAATAAAATTAATGTTTGTTTGTTTGTTTTAAAAAGGAAAGATCAACCTGAGAGCCCTCAAAAAGAAAAATTGAAGGGAAGGGACCAGCAGTTAGCATAATGGCTGTATCACTGGACTCCCACGTACTCGACCGTGGTTCGAGTCCCAGACGCGGTGGCTTAACCTCACGCCAGGTGCGTGTGCGTACGTGCCCAAGATCCCGAGAAGAGAATGGAGGAGAAGGGATTGTGGCATGGCCATCCCCCCTGGGGGGGTGATTTCTCGCTATCTCTCTGTCTCTGTCTGGTGAGCGCACATGCCCTATAGCAAAAACCTCTCAAAAAAAAAATTGAAGGGAAGAGGGACAGAGACAGAGGGAATCATTAAAAGGAATGGTCTAGGGACCAGCAGATTGCATAATGGTTATGTCACTGGACTGCTTCATAGTTGACCATGGTTAGAGTTCCAGACCAGGTGGCTAAAACTCACACCGGGTGCGTGTGTGTGCGTGCGTGCCCAAAGTCCCAAGAGGAGAATGGAGGAGAAGGAACTGTGGCATGACCATCCCCTCTGGGTGGCGATTTCTCACTTTCAGTCTCTCTGTCTCTCTCTGTCTCTGTGGTGAACATATGGGTCCTATAGCAAGAATCTATTTATTTATTTTTTAAAAAGGTGTCTAGAAAGGTAAGTTAAAAGCAGGAGAGAGTAAATACCTTGGCTAATAATGGGGAAATAATGCCTTAAAAAAGGAATGGATACAAAAGAAAATTGTGAAAGAAGATTTAAATACAGGTGGAGGGGCAAAAGATTCACACTGACAGTTTGCTTCTCTGGGTACAGGCACAAAGAACATAGACGTAAATTACATTTATTTCAATACTAATCTCACTTTAGAAAGTAGAAACGTCATTAACCTTTATAAACAAATGGCCTTCTCCTAATGTAATCCTACGGTTACTGCCAATCACTTAGTTCAACCGCTTTCAAAGGGTAGAGGCCCACTCTGGAATATGGCTCTGAGCTTATCCCTAGTTCAGGATTTCCCCAGGTGAGCAACACTGGCGCACAGCAGATGCAATGAGAGTCACTCTTTAATGCAACGTTCAACCGGAGAAGGAGGTTCCCAGTGGTAAATGCAGCTAAAATAATATAAAAAACCATCTAGAGGTAGAAAATTCAAACTAAAAAAATAAAGGTCCAAAAACAGAATGGGAACGATACAGGGATTAGTTCATTTCAAATGAATGAAATGTCATGAACTAATAAACTAATTCTCAAATTAAGTAAAATGAAGTACTTCTAAAAGAGATTAGTTTATGCTAAATATAGAGAGAGATTTCAACTAACAGAATAAGAAAGATGATTAGATCAGGAAGACAAAGTAAACACCTAGTGAAGAGATCACCAGGGACAAATTAAGCACCCACCTATTATTCATATTGCTTTACCTTTTTATATCGTTCTAATGGACATAATATCCTAAGGAAATAAGTTTCTCCACCCGTCCCTCAACTTTTCTCTGTGTTTACAACCCAAACCCTTAACAGACCTGCAAGTTCAGGTCTCCTCCACTAGT